GGGGGGGGGAGCAAGCATTTTCCAGAAAAAATCGGCTTGATGCAAGTCACTGGCGACGCGCACAGAGTGGGCCCTAGCGATCATGCGTTTTTGCAATATTTCGTGCTGTAGTTAGATCGCTCGAAAACCCAGTAGATAGAAATGTGTATCTATTGGTCCTCGAAGTCCGAAAAGCTAATAGTCTACGCAGTATTTGGACAGGGAATATTTCGTTCAAATTTCAGTTTTCCAAATTTTCTGGTTCTTGAGTTTGCAGTTTTCCTGCTAAAAATTTTCACAGGACTGTACGTGAGTATCACACACACACACACACACTCTCTGAAGGGCTGAATTTGATAATTATAAGTTCCACTTGTGCTGGGAACATTCCCTGAAAGTTTCAGCTCCTCTGCTTTTCTGATTCTCGAGTGAGTTCCTCGCGTCTAAAAACTTCCACGAGGCCGTACGTGAGAATCACGCATGCCTGGGAACTGAGTTTGATAAATTTAAGCTGTACGTTTGCTAGGAACATTGTCTGAAAATTCCAGCCTCCCAGCTTCCCTGGTTCCCAGTTTAGCGATTTTCGCACCAGCAATCTTCACGGGGGTGCCATTTGCGGGAGCTACGCATACCTGGGGTTGAATTTGAAATCTTTGAGTTCTATGTAGGTGGGGAACATAATCTCAGAATCTCAGCTTCCTAGCTTTTCTGGTTCCCATGTTATCGATTTTCCTGCCAAAACTTTCACCCTCTTGTACGCGGGGCCCAGACTCGCGTGAGGGCTGGTACCGCGGCCCTGGGGTGGCGCTTGGCCGAGGAAGCCAATGGCAAAATCTTGGCGCCGGAGCTTGCTTGGGCGTTGAGTTGAAATATCCGGCCACACACACACACACACACCGAGGTCGTCACAAAATGCATTTTTGCATTTGCATATGAGCAAAAACGCATGAAAACTGATAATCATGTACCTTGAAGTCCACGCCTTCTATAATGAAGCACCTTCATCCCAACCGATGCCTTTTCTGCTGCATACCGGAAGAGATCAGAGCACGGTCAATATGAGCCCAGTTTTAGGTTACAGCTCAGGGATCATTTCTGCTATTAGTGACTTGCGAGTTTAGTGCAAAAACGCATGATTGCACTGGCAAGCCCGATGTGTTCTAGCCTGGGTTAAGATTATGATAAATTCAATATTTGTTATTTCCGCTTGCAAAATTGAGTATTTGTCATGTTCTTCAAGTGCGCATGAAATAATAGATGTTGAAAGTATCAAGCTACCTCCGAGGCGACGAATTTCTTTGCCAGAAATGTTTCTTCCATTGCAGCAATGATGCAGCAGGCAGCGGAAACGGCCACTGGCGTCGGTAAAGTGCGAAAAAGAAGAAGAGTAAAGCGAATGAAGCTGAAAAAGAATAAAATGGAAAATGAGGGTGAGGAGGAGCGCATTTGCAAGCGACTGAGTGCCCGATTCAATGCGGCAAAACGAGCAGCACGCGACGACTGCTTACCTCATCTGGATACCACTTCTGGTATGCTTGGTCTTGACATTGCATCGTTCCATGTTTTGCGTAGAAATGCCGCATAACGATCGCCGATAAGGTCCTTTTTTGATCATTTCGGACTCGGTGCAGAATTTTGTGCTGCAGCTTTATTGAAGCTGCACTGGGGATGTGCACTTGGATGGTTTTGCAGGCTTTGTCAAAATTTAGCTTGAGAAGGGATATAACAATTAACACTGACTGAAATCGGTAAAAGGTGAATGGATAAGGCATCTTTTCGTTAGCAGTAAACGTAACTCCACAGTTTTCATGAGTTTTTTGCATCTGTTCAATGCAAAAACGCATACTGTCGAGGAGTTTTTTGAGTATGTGTCTGTATGTCTTTGTATATGTGTGTGTCTGTTTGTATTGATGTGTATGTGTGTCTGTGTGTACGTCTAATATCGGATTTTCATCTCGAGATTTACAAAAGCTACAAGGTTGCAATTTTGCCAACTTAATTTACACGCACATGCGGGCCCCAGTCCTCAAAATGGATGATCGTGCACACGTGGTTCTCACGTAAATTTTGAAAGTCTAATCCAAAGATTTCAAATTCAGCCTTTACGCACCCCTAGGTGTAATGTACGCGTACGTCAAAGTTGAGACTAGCATCTTGTCAACTCTAGGTTTAAGCTGACCAAAAAGTTGTAGAAAGCTGCAATTTTGCAGGGTTATTTGTCGCTCACTGATGTGTGCGTGCAAATAAATTGAGCTTTCCAGCCTCTCTGCATCTCGCGTGCTGGCGCATAAAAATTTCACGCAGGTACTTTTGTAACTTCAGAATTGAAGCAGCTAGAGGGCTGGAACTTCTGAGCACAACCGACGGCAGCGTTTAACCAGGTGGGTGTAGCAACGACTTTCACGTTTCTTTCATGTCCCACGTGCAGACCTACGTCCACACACGCGGAATTTGACGTTACTTCGCAACTAAATCAGCTAAAGTGCCGAAATTTTCTGAACGTGCCTCTCACGTACGAACACATGAAGTATGACATAACTCCACAGCCGAAGCATCTAGAGAGCTGGGTTGTTTGAACATAAATTGGGATCACTGTAATAATCTCTAACAGTCGTGGTGGCTGTTCTCAATTCTTTTAGCTAGAAGTATCTGCCGGAAAAAAACAGTGCTTTTAGCAACAAAAACCTACGGGAGAGCTGTGCAAAAAACTCATCTTCGCCCCGGCAGCCAGCGCGCTGTTGACCAAGTTTGTTTTTTTGTCGTTAACAAGATCGTTTTACTTTTTGATCCAGGCTGAAATGTGTTTGCTTTGTTTCACACAAACACACATTGAGTACGCCGCATTGTTTTCTATTGAAAGCTGTATTTTGGTGGGCTGGTTGCAGCGGTTTTTAAATGATTTTAAAAAAGTCGGCTTATTTCAAAGAATTTGTAGAATTGATTAAGTAGTTTGTCTTTATCTGAAGTGCTTCTTTTTCAAGTTTCAGGGAAGACGGTGCAGGTGAAAAATGGCTG